AAAAAAAAAAAAAAAAAAAAAAAAAAAAAAAAAAACCACCCGGGGGGGGGGGGGGGAAGACATAACAATTACAATTCCTTGAAGTTGATAAGACAAGCCATAGAAAGGACATTGTTGGGAGGGAGGGGGGATAGAGAGGGGGGAGGGAGGTTTCGGTAAAGGCCACAATAACCAACCACATTGTATACTGACAAAATAAAATAAAGTAAAATATAAAAAAAAATAAAAAATAAAATAACAATGTAGCTCATAGAAAAATCTAATGAGTTGCTATGAAAAATAATAAATGTAATGTTTAGAAAAAGAGATCCATAACCAAGGATAAATGTAAAATATTCATCTGAACAAAGTAAAAATTTTTATATTCCTTCAAAGCATTCATATGTATTATCTTAATAACAATTTAGGAATATAACTGTAAAAGGTTGTTTAAGCTGCTAAAAGTAAAAACTTTAGATGGAAATAAAGCATTATTATCAGAAAAGCAACTTCAGGGATGGGCCCGTAGCGCACTTGGGAGAGTGTGGCACTGGGAGCGCAGCAGCACTCCCGCCACAGGTTCGGATCCTATATAGGGATGGCCGGTGCGCTCACTGGCTGAGCACAGTGCAGCCGGTCTCAAAAAGGACAAAAAAAAAAAAAGAAAAGAAACTTCACATTTTCAATGTATTTAATTTTTTTTTAGTTCATCTACTCTATGATCCTGCAATTTTATTTCGGTATATAGACAACTGCATTTTTCCAACTGTATATTAAAATAGATTAAAGACTCACAAATTAGTTTACTGGATAACAAACATCTTAACGGATTGGCAGAAAGTTGCTGCAATAATTTCTAGTTTGTTAAACCATTTAAAGTGAAATATAAGGGCTGGCCTGTGGCTCACTTGGGAGACTGTGGTGCTGATATCACCAAGGCTGCGGGTTCAGATCCCTATATAGGGAGGGCCGGTTAGCTCACTTGGGAGAGCATGATACTGACAACACCAAGTCAAGGGTTAAGATCCCCTTACCGGTCATCTTTTCAAAAAAATAAAAGGAAAATATAGACATTAAAATGCATCTGTAAAAAAAAATTGACATGGGTTCTACAGCAGCAATTCAATGTATTTAATTTTTATAATGCTCTTATAAAGAATTAATTCCTATTCTAAAAGCAATATGAACTGAATGCTTACCTCCCTTCAGATTTCCGCAAAAAGAATAAACATCATCAGATCCTCGGCAAATTACTTCCTTACGCTTTGGAAAATCCACGGAGTTGACAGATATATACAAATTAAAATATAATTTTTTTATGTCTGTTCCTTAAAAAACAAAAATCCCATTAGCCCCTCAAATAAGAGATTCTTCCATACATAATAATTAATATTTATTGTACATTTAAAATATTCCCTTTGCTTTTTCTATACCATTTTATTTCATCATCACAACTATTTACAAGGAGGATGTTATTGTACTTATTCTGCAGGTGAGAAAACTGAACTTCTGAGAGAGCAACTAGTAGATCATATCAAATAAAATGTTCCAGAGAAAGAACTATGTATGTTATGCCTAAAAATAGAGGAACCTTTCTAACTTGATTGAGAAAATTATCAAATGAAGACATAAAATTTCCAGTTCTAGTCACAGTTCTGCTAGAAAATTCAAAAGAAAGGAAAGGAAGTGAGGACAGTCAGCTTCTTAGGAGTTTTGATAAAAGATTTCTTGGAGAATAAAATTGAATCTTTTGATTAGAAATTAAATGTCTGGCTATTATTTAATTCCTTATGATCTCCCTATTTCCAATAAACATGGAAAATTCCAGTAATCACATTTTGTTCAACTCTTCCGAGTTATTCACTTGGCCCAAATGTTAAAGATGTGCAATTTTTTTAAAAATGAAAACAATTTTGTAACCACTATCTCATTGAAAATGTTTCCCAGTAAGGTCACATGACTCATTGCAGCCATGGTCAAAAGACAATTTTTCTGTCTTTAACTTGAACTTGGCTATGTGTCATAGAACTTCAGCACAGAGGAACCCCTTCCTCTAAACCCTCTCACTCTCTTCTGGTTGCCCTCCAACCTCTCTGACTCCTTCTCCTCAGTCTGTTTAATTGTCTTCTCTTTCTTAGGGTCCCATCCTCAGTTCTCAATTTTTATTCCATGCACTCTTCCTGGCTTTAAGTACCATATAAGGTAATAATTCGCAAATCATCTTTAGTCTCGACCTTTCTCCTGAGCACTTATCCCATATATCCCTCGGTTACCTGACCAAAAAGACCCAAAAGTGATTTCCTCTTTTTCATCACCAAATTGGCACTGGGATTCCCAGCCCAAGTAAATCTCACTAGCCTTTCTTTCATCCCCATTACCACTGCCTTAATGCAGACGCTTATACTCTGAGCCTGAAGTACCCCACACTTCCTAATTTGTCTCCACTTCTCTACTTTGAGGGTGGGGTACAAAGAAAAACATCACAGGATCTGTTTCAAACAACGGTCCCATGGCCTACTCCATGGAATTGAGGCTGAACCTCTCCAAAAGCAAGGCTATCTGTAGAAGTTGAAGAGCTGTTTTCACAAGGAATTTCTAGAAACACAGGGGCACAAGATAGCACTGTCATGGTGTTCAATGACAATGCAGGACAAAAGACCTTCCACTTCTTCATGAAACACAGCATGTTTACTGTCCTCAATGACTCCGAGAAAGGAAGTCCTGCTTTGACAACTCAATAGTTTACATCTTGAAAAGCTCCTTGGCCTTGGACACCACAGTGGTCATATTAGGCACGCAAACAATGGTAATAGTGAGGTAACACTTTTGTGGCTCAGCAGGTCAGGGCTATTAATGTGGGTGCTGGACTCAGAGAGGGGAAACATGGTGGCTGTCATGTGGTAACAAAGAAGACTATTTTTGAGCTCACCTAATACAACTCCAGGAATTTCCAAAAATAACCTTAAGGGAGGCTTATGATCCAGGTTTATTTATTTGTCAACCAGTTCACAGTATACAAATAATTTACTAGCAAGTCTATAAAGTCTCAAAACACATAATTTCCATTCCCAACCTATTTTTGGCTCAAGGATGTACTTATAGCTCTTACTGAATTTATATAGAAATAAGGCCATAAAAATAAGGTTGATTTTTATGAACACTTTATACCAACATTATAAGAAGTATATTTAATGGACACTCAGGTCATAATTGCAAAGCACTATACAAAATATGACAGAATAATTTTTTTGTTAATGAATTAATATAATTTGTTATATAAATATCATATTTAGTGAGTGATTATTTTTACTGGCCATGGAGGTATACCACTTAAACTTCCCTTCAAAAGATACTTCTGTGAGGAGGGTAGTTGGCAGACAGCCTGTAGCTGCCGTACCTTCACATACATCTCAGTACTCATCCAGAGGCCACACTCCCACAGGCTGCTCCTGCAAGGACTGAGCACCACAAGGACCTAGAGCCAGGCTATGCCTGCCTGTCAAGGGACCCTTGTGAAAGGCAATCTTTGCTATGGGGCTCCCATTGACCTGGCCAAGAATGTTTCAGGAATATATTCTGGTCTGACGATCATCCTACCTAATTCTCCTTCCTTCCCTCTCCCTTTTCAAAGATATCAGAACTGCACCCCAATCTGAGTCCTCTCCTTGCCTACTCTGGCTTCTTCTCCCCTTTATTGTTCACAAGCATGTCCCTCAATAAATCTCTAGCATGTCTAATTCCTTCTTGGTATTTGTTTTTCAGAGAACCCTAAGTGATGCCACATTGTCTTATTTTGTGGGCTTGGAAGGATTCATCCTGCGAGGGATTCACTTGAAAGTGAAATCATTCATTATGTAATTCATCACTTATGGTAAATATCTGGGGGTGAAGCTTACCAAAAGACCAGAAAACAGAACATGGGAAAAAAAGAAGAAATTAGCCAGGCAAAATTTTAGGTTACTTCTTTTACCCTCGGCCAGGGAGATAGAGCAAACAGTTAGCCTACTGCTATCATTTCATTTATCACACTGTATTATCTGCAGATCTGTCTTTCCTATTTCACTGACAGATTCTTAAATATCAAGAGAATATCTTATCAATGAATTCACAGTGTCTAGTACAATGCTTGAAATATATTATGCATTTGCTAAGTATTTTTAATAAATAAATGAACGCAGATGAAGTGTCAAAATACACATTAAATAATTAGATTCAGGAAAATTAAAACACAAGTTTGTTGTCTATCATTCCTGGGTTCTCAGCTAACTTTTTTCTTTTTTCTAGTAAGCTAGTGAACTACAATCAGAGAAGAAATGTTTCTTTAAGCTTACTTATGTGAAAGTACTTTGTAAAGTATAAAACAAGCTCCAAATCTAAGCTAGGATGTAAATGATCATGATGATGATAAGTATTAGAACTGAAGTTTCCTGGGATTCCAGAGCTTATAGGCAACAAGCAATGTTGGCTGACTGATAGGAGAAAATGAAAGTTTAGTGTTTTCACTCGGATCCAGCCCAGCACTGTCACCATCACCTGCATTAGTTTTTACTAAGCTGACAACAAGCAAGGTTATAGAGGGATAAAAAAAAAGTATAAAACAAAACAAAACACATTGCCTTCTTTCATCTCATCATCACCATATTTTTCTTCAGAAAGGTCATATTTAGGGGGGAAAAAATCCTGGCTTGCTCATACACAGACCTTTGACTAGTGAAAACCCAGTGTTAGTTACTTATCAGCTGAGTAGCCAATGGTTGACAAAGAAAATACCTGTTAAACTGTTAGAATTCTCAAGTTATTTCAGTTTCTACCCCAATGTTTTTATGTAGCTCCCCACGATGTGGGCTGTCCTAGTGGCTTATTTCTAATCAATAGAATACAGAAAAGGTGGTAGAGCATCACTTCTATAATTAGGATACATAAGATAGTGACTTCATTTCGTTAGCTGACTGTTTCCCTTGCTGACATTGAAGAAGCAAGCAGCTATGTTGAAAAGCCCATGTGGCAAGAACAGAGGGGTGGCCAACAGCAAGCAGGGAACCGAATACTGCCAGCAACCACATGAGCTTAAAAGCAGGTCCTTTCCTAGTTGAGTCTTCAGAAAAGACCCCAATCCTGGTCAACAAATTGATTGTAACCTTGTGGAAGACCCTGAAACAGACACAGTAAGCCATGCCCAGACTACTGACTTACAGAGACTATGAGAATAATAAATGTGTGCTGCGTTAAGCCACTAAGACTGTGGTCATTTGTTACATAGTAATAGATAACTAATACAAGTATATTTGAAACACTATCAATTATCATTGATATTTCTTGAACCCTTAAATTGATCTAAAAACAAAAATTTGAACTTACTTGGAATGAAGAAAATATGTAAAAATCCTCTGGTTCCCGTCAATGTTATACATGGTTCAAGGTTAATTGAAATAGGATATTCTGTTTTATCTAAATGGAATAAAGATAATGTCAATAAATTTATTATAAATCATTTCCAATAAGTATAGTATTCTGAATATCATACTGTAAAAGATGCCTTTCACATTAAAATTATATAATGATAAAAATTCAGGGTGGCTAAAAGTATCTCCCCAGAGGAATGACATCAGCAACATGGCAGAGTAGGAAGCACTGGACTCTCCTTGTCCCCAGAAGCACAACAATTCACAGACAATTTTCCTTTGTAAGAAATCAAACTAATGGAAAGACTATTGTACCCCAGGAAAACATAAAACCAGATTCACCAAAGCCAGTAAGGAGACCTGGGACACCCTCTCTCTTGAGACTCTTACCCTGGTGCAGGGCTATACAATCAGGAAGAGACCTCCTAGGTTCCAGTTTTACCCAAAAAGGGAAGAAGTTGGTTCACATGTTTAGCAGCCCAAATTTTCCACAGGGGCTCCCCAGAAAACTGGTTTCTGTTTTGCCAGTCTTGGAGCTTTGATATGTCTGGCACAGTCTAGCCACCCAGGGGAGAACAAAGACAGTAGCTTTGGCTGGTAGGCATCATTGACCCTCCCCTCTGCTCAGCATGGAGTAAGCAGATGAAAAATCCCAGCTCTCAACTTTCCCCTGGGAAGGATAAGAGTTGATTCATGCACACAATACTCCAACTTCTCTGGGGATTCCCAAAGAACAAGTACTTTCTCACCAGTCCTAGAGCTTTGATGGGTCTGACACAGTCTAGCTGCCTGGGAGAGAACAGAGATAGCAGCTTAGGCTGGTGGATGCCATAACTTCCTCCCCTACCCTACCCCCAGCTCATCACAGAGTGAGTAAAGAAAAACTACAGCTGTCTCCTTCTCCCTGGGGAGGAAAAGAGTTGGTAGAGGCCCCCAGAATCTCTGACCAGGATGATTGGTGAGGGTGTTCTGTTTGAGGCCATTTGTGAAGAATGGAAGAGGTGCCTGCTTTGTCTAATATTCAGCAAAACAGAGAGTCAAGGAAAATGAAGAATCAGGCAAAGATATTCCAAACAGAGGAATAAGATAAATCACTATAGCTGTCCTAAGGAAATGAAGTTATATATTTACATGACAGAGATTTAAAAATAACTCTGTCAGTCCCCATCACTGTGCAAAGAAATAAAATAAAATAAAAATAACTCTCATAAAGATGTTCACTAAGATCAAAGAACAATGCATGAATAAAGTGAGAATTTCAACAAAGAGAGAGAAAATATTAAAAAGTGCCAAACAGAAATCATGGAGCTGAAGAAAACAATAACTGAAATGAAAAATTCACCACAGGGGTTCAGCAGCAGACTAGATCAAAAAGAAAAAAGAACCAGCAAATTCAGAGATAAGCCACTGAAAAATAATTCAATCAGAGGAGCAAAAATGAAAAACAAAAAAAGAAAGGAGTGAAGAAAGCTTAACACAGTTATGGGACACCATCAAGCAGACCCATATACACATTATGAGAGTTCCAGAAGTAGAAGAGTAAAATAAAGAACAAGAAAACTTATTCAAAGAAATAATGACTGAAAACTTTAAAAATCTGGGAAAGAAAATAGAAATCCAAATCCAAGAAGCCCAAAGGACATCAAATAAAATAAACTAAAAAATATCCATGGCAAGCCATATTATGATCAAATTGTCAAGTCAAAAACAAAGAGAGAATTTTGAAAACAAGAGAAAAGCAAATTGTCACATAGAAAGGAATTCCATAAAACTACCAATGGATTTTTTTCAGCAGAAACCTTGCAGACCCAAAGGGAATGGGATGATATACTCAAAGTGCTGAAAGAAAAAAACTTCAAAAAATGAAGGAGAGAGAAAAACTTTTTCAGACAAACAAAAGCTGAGGAAGTTTGAAACCACAGAACTACCTTACTAGAAATGCTAAAGGAAGTTCTTCAAGTTGAAACAAAAGGATACTGAACAATGACATGATAGCACAAAAAAGTATAAAATTCATTGGTAAAGGTAAATATATAGTCAAATACAGAATAATGCATTACTGTAATGGTGGTTGGTGAATCACTTTTAATTCTAGTATAAAAGTTAAATCATAAAAGTATCAAAAATAAGTATAACTAAATAATATGTTAGGAAGCAGCTGGCAACAGCACCAGCCAGCAGAACCGCAGCTCCACATGGCTCCCTCACCCTGCCACCTTGAACCCAGGTGGGGGGGAGCTCCAGAACCCACCCCCACACCCTGAACCAGCACCATGCAGGTGAGCCCACTGAAACCAGCCAGCGGAACCACACAGCTTCATGCGGCCCTTCATTCCACCTCAGACCCAGGGAGGAGCACCAGCCTACGGATCCAACCCACCGAGTTTGGCCCAGCAGAACTCCCATGCTAGGGGCTCATTCTATGACCACAGAGTCTCGAACAGGAACCAAGGTGATTTAACATAACTACCACCACACCTACTGTCAAGCAAAAACAATTCACCCCCTACAGTAGCAACCAAGGCCACTCCACAGCCAACCTCAGTGCAATAGAAGAAGCAGACCCCCTACCAAATGACCAAGCATCAGTGAAAAAAACACTAGAAGTACAAACAATCAAGAAGAAATGACACCACCAAAAGGATACAGTAATGCCCCAAAGTCAGACGCCATGGAACAGGGAATCCTTGAAATGTCTGAAAAAGAATTTCGAGCAATGGTATTAAGAAAACTTGAAGAAATAAAGGAAGACTCCATTAGAGAACACAATGAAAAAAGGAAAAACATCCAGACTATGAACAAGGAAATCTACAAAGAGATTAATACCATAAAAAAGAATGTAACAGAACTCCTAGAAATGAAAGACTCACTCAATGAAATAAAAAACACAACTGAGAGCTTGAGCAGCAGGGTAGAGCAAGCAGAAGAAAGAATTTCAGAGCTTGAAGATGGTCTTTTTGAAATAACTGAGGCAGACAAAAAAAGGAAAAAAGAATTAAAAATAATGAGGAAAACCTAAGAGAAATTGCAGACAACCTCAAGTGCTCTAACATCCAATTTGTGGGTATTCCTGAAGGGTGGGAGAAAGGAGAAGGTATCGAAAACCTACTCAAGGAAATAGGAACAGAAAACTCCCCAGGTGTAGGGCAAGATACTCACCTTCAGATCCAGGAAGCTCAAAGGTCCCCAAACAGATTCAACCCAAAAAGATCCTCCACAAGACATATTATAGTTAAATTTGCAAAGCTCAAAGACAAAGAGAGAATTCTACAGGCAGCAAGAGAAAAGCATCAGGTCACTTATAGGGGAACCCCCATCAAACTAATAGCAGACTTCTCAACCAAAACCCTACAGGCCAGAAGAAAGTGGAACGATATATTCAAAATACTAAAAGAAAAAACTTCCAGCCAAGAATTGTTTACCCAGCAAGGTTCTCCTTCAGAAATGAGGGAGAAATAGTGTATTTCTCAGACAAACAAAAGTTGTGGGAGTTCACCACGACACGACCAGCCCTGCAAGAAATTCTCAAGGGAGTCATTCATCTGGATTCTGAATAATGGTGACCATCATCATGAATACACAAGAAAGAGCAAAACCCATGGTTAAAACAAAAATTCCAGCAAGAAAAAGAAGCAAAATCATTCTGCCTTAAATTCCCAACTCACATTAAAGAAGAGAAATAAAAGGGGAAATAATAATCAAAACATATTTAAACCACCTAAACAAGTAGCAATTAAATGACAGGAATTAAACAACACTTCTCAATAACTACTCTAAATGTGAATGGACTAAACTCCCCATTCAAAAGACACAGACTAATTGACTGGATTAAAAAGCTAGACCCAAGTATATGCTGTCTTCAAGAGACCCAACTCACCTGTAAAAATACTCATAGACTAAAAGTGAAGGGATTGAAAAAGATATACCATGCAAATGGAAGCCAAAAATGAGCAGGAGTAGCTATTCTTACATCAGACAAAATAGACTTTAAACCAAAAAACATTTTAAAAAGACAAAGAAGGCTATTATATAATAATAAAGGGAACTATCCAGCTAGAAGACGTAACAATCATAAACATGTATGCACCCAATACTGGAGCACCTAGGCATATTAAGCAAACACTCTTAGACCTAAATAAGGAGATAGGACCTAATACCCCTCTCTCAGTATGAGACAGGACTTCCAGGCAACAAGTCAACAAAGAGACACAGGATTTAATCTATAACCTAGACCAACTGGAATTGGCAGATATATACAGAACATTTCACCCAACAGCTAAAAAATATACTTTCTTCTCATCAGCTCATGGTACATTCTCCAGGATAGACCACATATTAGGTCACAAATCTAGTCTCAGCAAATTTAAAACAAATTGAAATCATTCCAACAATCTTTTCAGACCATGATGGACTAAAACAGGAAATAAACAATAAGCAAAATTCTAGAAGCTATACAAATACATGAAAAATAAATAATAGGCTCCTGAATGACCTATGGGTCCAAGAACAAATTAAACAGGAAATCAAAAAATTCCTAGAAACTAATGAAAATAAAGATACATCATACCAAAACCTCCGGGATACTGCAAAAGCAGTACTAACAGGCAAATTTATTACAGTAAATGCTGATATCAAAAAAATGGAAAGACTCCAAATAAACAACCTAATGCTATGCCTCAAAGAACTTGAAAAACAACAACAATCCAAACCTAAAGGCAGCAGATGGAAAGAAATAATTAAGATCAGAGCAGAACTAAATGAAATAGAGACCCCCAAAAATAGAAAAATCAACGAAACTAAAAGTTGGTTTTTTGAGAAAATGAACAAAATAGACACACCATTAGCTAGATTAACAGAAAAAAGGGAAGAGAAGACCCAAATAACAAAAATCAGAAATGAAAAGGGAGACATTACAACTGACACCACAGAAATACAAAGAACCATTAGAGACTATTATAAACAACTGTATGACAACAAATTTGAAAATCTGGAAAATATGGATAAGTTTCTAGACACATATAAATTACCAAGAGTCAACCAAGAAGAGATAGGAGACCTGAACAGACCAACAACAAGCAAGGAGATTGAAGCAGTAATTAGCAATCTTCCAACAAAAAAAAAGTCTGCGTCCAGATGGCTTCACAGCTGAATTCTATCAAACTTTTAAAGAGGAGTTACTACCAATTCTCATGAAACTGTTCCAAACAATTGAAACAGACCCTACTCTCCCAAACTCATTCTATGAAGCCAATATAACTCTGATATCAAAACCAGATAAAGAAACAACAAAAAAAGAAAATTACAGGCCAATATCCTTGATGAACCTAGATGCTAAAATCCTCAACAAAATATTAGCAATTAGAATACAGCAACATATTTAAAAATTTATACAGTATGATCAAGTGGGATTCATCCCAGGGATGCAAGGATGGTTCAACATATGAAAGTCAATAAATGTGATACATCACATCAACAAGCTCAAGGACAAAGACCATATGATTATCTCAATAGATGCTGAAAAAGCATTTGACAAAATTCAACGTTCCTTCATGACAAAGACTCTCAACAAATTAAGTACAGAAGGAAAATATCTTAACACAGTAAAAGCCATTTATGACAAGCCCACTGCCAGTATTGCTCTGAATGGGGAAAAATTGAAGGCCTTCCCCTTAAGGACAGGAACAAGACAAGGATGTCCACTCTCACCACTTCTATTCAACACAGTACTGGAGGTACTAGCTAGAGTAATCAGGCAAGAGAAAGAAATAAAGGGAATCCAGATTGGAGAAGATGAACTCAAACTTTCCCTATTTGCAGATGACATGATACTATCTATAGAAAAACCTAAAGACTCTATCAAAAAATTCCTAGAGCTGGTTAATAACTTCAGTAACATTACTGGATACAAAATAGATGCCCCTAAATCAGTAGCATTTATACACACAAATAATGAATTCACAGAAAGAGAAATAAAGAAAGTAAGCACATTTATAATTGTCACCAAAAAAATAGGATACCTAGGGATCAATTTAACCAAGGAGGTGAAAGACCTCTACAATGACAATTACAAACCACTTATGAAAGAAATTAAAGAAGACACAAAAAGGGCCGGCCCGGTGGCGCACTGGATAGTGCGCCGCTTGGGAAGCGCGGCGGCGCTCCCGTCCGAGGGTTCGGATCCCGCTCTGTGAGGGTTTGAGAAGGTCCACACAAGGCAGTTACCAGCATTGCTTTTCCTGCTGGCAGCAGTAGCAGCCGCAGCAGCTGGAACTCGCGGACATTTCCTGTGTTCCGACGACAGCAGTGTACGGTTCTTGTGAAAACTTACCCTCAAAAGAGCTGGTGCTACAATGATTTGTTGTTGCTGTTTTACTTACCACAGTCATTGAGATACCACCTCACTCCAGTTAGACTGGCTATGGTCAAAAAGACAGTGAATAACAAATGCTGGCGAGGGTGTGGAGAGAAGGGAACACTACTGCACTGTTAGTGGGACTGTAAATTAGTACAACCACTTATAAAACAATTTGAAGGTTTCTCAAACCACTACAGATAGATCTTCCATATGATCCAGCAATCCCTCTTCTGGGTATATATCCAGAGGAATGGAAATCATCATGTCGAAGAGAAACCTGCACTCCCATGTTTAGTACAGCTCTGTTTACAATAGCCAAGACATGGAACCAACCTAAATATCTATCAATAGATGACTGCATAAGGAAACTGTGGTACATATACACTATGGAATACTACTCTGCCATAAAAAAGAATGAAATACTCCCATTTACAACAACATGGATGAACTTGGAGAAACTTATGTTGAGTGAAACAAGCAAGGCACAAACGGATAAATACCGCATGTGTTCACTCATGTGTGGGAGCTAAGAGAGAAAGGAAGGCAGGAAAGAAAGACCACAGCAGTGCCGTGATCCAACAGAGGGAGGGAACATTCCTAGGGCTACAGATTGGAGTTGAGGGGAGAGGGGTAAGGGGAGAGAGGCTGGGGGACAATTGGGAGGGGACAAAGGGTACAAAAGTAATTTTTGGTAATGGGTATGCCCCCAGTATGAATCTGGCCCCCACATCATGGGCAGGAGAAGGGACAATCAGCTTTGTATCTCATGAATATTTGTAATAAATAAATAAATAAAAGTATATATAAAAAAGAATATGTTAAGGCCGGCCCGTGGCTCACTCGGTAGAGTGCGGTGCTGATAACACCAAGCCAAGGGTTGAGATCCCCTTACCGGTCATCTTTTAAAAAAAAAAAAAAAAAAGAATATGTTAAAAGATGGACAATATGAATAGATGTAAATTGTGACAATAATAACATAAAGTGAGGTGGGGTAAAGTGTAGAGTTTTTGTATGTCATTGAACTTCACTGTCATAAGATATTGCTATGTTTTGAATGTGTTCCCCAAAATTCACCTGTTAGAAACTTAATCCCCAATGCCACAAGGTTGAGAGATGGGACCTTCAAGAAGTTACCTTTGACAGGTTATTAGGTCATGAGGACTCTGCCTTCACAAATGAATTCATGTTCTTGTTGTGAGGGTTAGTTATTGCAGGAGTGGGTTTTGATAAAAGGATGAGTTCTACCCGCTTCCCTCCCTCTCTCATGTGCTTTTCTGCCTTTCTACCGTTCAGCCAGTGGATGATGCTGAAAGAAGACCCTTGCAAGATGCAGTCCCTTGATCTTGGACTTCCCAGCCTCCAGAACTCTAAGAAAATAAATTTCCATTGTTTAAGCCACCGAGTCTGTGGTATTTTGTTATGGCACCCTGAGTGGATGAAGACACTGTTTATATCCAGTAGCTTGACGAAATGGAAATTTACCTCTTCTCTTCCAGGGAAATCATCCTCACAGTCAGAATTAAATTGGGGGTTGTTGTTCTCACCAACACCCTAACAATAATACCTAGAGGAATCAGTGCTTCTCACAGGAGATGCATTTTTGGCTCGGCTGGGATGGATACCCTCAGGTGGGGAGGGAATGATGTGGCAGAGGGGATGGCAGCAAGTAGAGTCTTGCTGCAGATGTGTACACAGTCCCTTGTCAATGGAGCCACAAGAAAGGACCTCAGGACTTCTCAGTATTAGGGAGAAAGAGATAAGATCCTCCCTCAGAAAACCAAATCAAAAGGAGTGACTATTACTAAAAGATTAAAAGCTAAATAATAATGTGAAATGTTATATCAATAAAGGTGGTAGAGTTTGGATGTGTTGTCCCCACCAAAACTCATGTGGAAATTTGATCCCCAATGTGGCAGTGTTGCAAACTGATTGAGTCATGGGGGCAGATCTCTCATGAATGGATAATGCTCTCCCTGGTTGTGGGGCGATTAATGAGTGAGTTCTTGCTCTATTAGTTCCCACGAGAGCTTGTTGTTTATAGGACCCTGGCACCTCCTCTCTCTCTCTTGCTTCCTGTCGCCAGGTGATCTGCTTGTACCCACCAGCCGCCTGCCACTTTCTGCCATGAGTAGAAGCAGCCTGAGGCCCGTGCCAGATGCAGCTGTCCCAGAATCGTAAGCCAAATAAACCTCTTTTCCTTGTAAATTACCCAGTCTCAGGTATTTCTGTTATAGCAGCACAAAACGGACTAATATGAAAGGCCATGTGAAGAGTGGCATAATCAATGTGTTGTACAAAGGGCCAAAGGAGTGAGAAGTAGAAGCTGGGTGGACTGGGGAGCCTTGCTGGAAGGGAGGTGTAAACCAATCTTGTAGAATGGAGAGATTTCAGAGGTGAGTTATGAGGGAATTCAGCACAATCCACAAGGCAGAGAAAGGTGGCAAGTATGTGATTGGTCACACACCTAAGTCTTGTTCTCACACTTGGCAATCATCCTAATTCCCCAGAAGTATCTTTACGTTAGCATCTGCCAAAACATGTTTCTCAGGACAGTCAACACACACCCCAAAAAAACAAATCAAATCAAATTGAAAATGTTGTGGTTAAACAGGTTTTGTTTTTTCTTTTGTTTTGTTGGCAGCTGGCCACTTCCAGGATCCCAACCCTTGACCTGGGTGTTACCAACACCATGCTCTGAACAGGTTTCTTCACTGCAAAAGTTCTCCAAAATCAAAATACATTTGTAAATCTTCCCCAAATGATTGGGCCGTAAGTCCTTTTTTCCCAAAAGAATCTCAAAGAACTAGTATTTTGGGAAGCATCATTTTAAACCTTCCTGAAATTGCTAATGGATAGAAAAAGGCAGCCAACCCATAATGAGCAACACAGTGGAAAGTACCAAATCAAAACAGCTGAGCCTTCAGACCTTCAGACATTTGCTAAGGAGTGGTTGAGGGAGGGTGTCAGTGACACAATCAGTTGATAGCATGCAGGTATGGCTGCTTTTTTAAAAAAAAGTAATAAATATCAGTTTTTATGTGACCCTGTGCTAAAAACTTTACAGTTTTCTGGGGCAGAAATCAATTCCAGGAAGCAGCTAGGACTGTTCTACATTCCCTAGAAGAACCAGTAAATCTTTGGCTAAGGCAAAAGCTCAGGAGTAGACAGTTCTACTCAACCTGGGAAAAACTTACAACAGGCTCAAGGTAGAGACAGCTGACCACGGGGAACAGAAGCACTTGTAGGTCAAGCACAACACAGTTTAGAAACTCGTGAGCTCTGTGAGGGTTTGAGAAGGTCCACACAAGGCAGTTACCAGCATTGCTTTTCCTGCTGGCAGCAGTAGCAGCCGCAGCAGCTGGAACTCGCGGACATTTCCTGTGTTCCGACGACAGCAGTGTACGGTTCTTGTGAAAACTTACCCTCAAAAGAGCTGGTGCTACAATGATTTGTTGTTGCTGTTTTACTTACCACAGTAGGTGTACGAAACACTTGACTCGGAGGAGTTGCAGATCCAATATTGCTTCCCAGGTTCAGTAAATATGAAAGAAAACAGGGTAGAAAAAAGCATAAATGGGAACATGATTCAATTTCTCCAAAATTTTAAAAATGCACGGAGGATCAGTAACTAATCATCAGACTCTTCCCTTTCAGTAAGTAGAAAAGATTTAACTTAGTCACCAGTCACATGATTTCTGAGTTCCTATCCAACTGTTTCCTCTTTCTATGTGCATGTTTGATATTTGAGCAACTTCCTGCAAGGGGGGAGAGGAAAGTGATTTAGAATGTACTCTTTTTGAACACTTGATGCAAATGAAAGTGACCAGAGCTTTAAAAACAAAACAAACATTTTCCAGTCAGTAATAACAAAACCGTTCTGTAGGTCTCCTCTAAAGTCTCAACAGACTGGGACCCCTTTTCCATATGCATTGCTATTCTTTCCCACAAGCTCTTAATACAATTTCTCGTGGCCCAGAGAGCTGAAGCTATAGATCTGAACTGAACAGTCTCATGTAAACTATTTCTGCTCAGTAACAGGTTCAGGACAGAACAGTGCTAGATGAGACCCCAGAAAGGGGACACTACATGTAATTCTGCACTGTGCACTCACCTACAAAATACTACAGCTCCAGGGAATAGTTTGCGTCCTAATAACAAAATATCATTATTTTGTTGTGGCATGTATTTCATTTCAAAACTCTCACTCCATTTCAGAAAAACAGCTATTCTTTGAGATGCTTTGCTACTTGAAATCCTATATAGGATATAGTTTAGAGTTAGTAACTACAAATGGCATGGAGTTGTGACCTAAAAGTCTGCAACGCTTAAGAGGAAAATAATCATATGTTGGTAAAGGTTTTACTATAGAACTGTGCTACTTTCCCATTTTTAAAAAAGCAAAAATCCATAGGAGGAGGGGGAAATGGGAAATTGTTCACTGGGTATAGTTTCAGTTTTGCAAGATAAAAAGTTCTAGAGATCTGTTGTGCAATAGTGTGAATATAGTTAACACTACTTAACCGTACATTTGAAATTGGTCAAGATGGTAAATTTCATAAAATTTCTGGGGTTCTGTTTTTTGAGGGGTTTTTTGGTTGTTTTATGTGGGTTTTTGGTAGCTGGCTGGTATGGGGATTCAACCCTCAAACCCTTGACCTTAGTGTTGTCAGCACCACACTTTAACAAAGTAAGCCAGACCCTATGTTATATGTTTTACACTATCATTTAAAAATAAATTTAAAAGATGAAAAAAAGGTCAAAACCCATGAATATTCCTAGTGGTCTCAAAATACCATTTCCCACTAAAAGGAACTAGGATTTCTCGGAGAAATTGTTGATTCCAGATCTGGGGCAGAAAATGTACGAGATGAGCCTGGAACAACTTATATTAGATAACCAATTTGAAGAAGGTTTCACTGACCAAAGACGGGTATTAATAGTTTCCTATTGCTGCTGTAAGAAATTGCCACAAATTTAGTGGCATAAAACAACACAAATTTATTCTCTTACAGTTCTGGAGATCAGCAGTTTGAAATCAGTTTCACTGGACTGACGTCAAGGTGTCAGCAGAGCTGGTTCCTTCTGGAGACTCCAGGAAAATCTGTTCCTTGCCTTTTTCAGCTTCTAAAGCTGTAATTCTTGCATTTCTCTGCCTTCAAAGTGCATCACTCCAATCTCTGCTTCCATCATCCCATCTCCTTCTCCTCTGATCTCCTGCCTCCTGCTTTTAAGAACCTCTGTGATTACAGTGGACCCGGATAGATAATCCAGGGTAATTCAACACAAAATCCTTAATTTCATCATATCTGCAAAATCCTTTTTGCCATGTAAGGTAACATTTTGCTGCTTTTGGTGATTAGGACATGAACATCTTGTGGTGCCATTATTTAGCCTACCTATATGATTGTATAAACGTTAATAAGATAGTGACTGCAAGAAATTGAAATACATCAAATATATTTAAATCCATGAGCTCACGACATTCTTTTTAAGTCTAATTATCATCAGGTGATGCTAGAAAACCAACACTATTTTTAAAACTAGCAAATAAAGAGGAAGAATCAAGCATTTATCCTGACTTTTCTGTACAAACTGAACTACTGAGTAACCAAATGATAGAGAGGGACAAGTTTCTCTTGTCTTCCTATACTTATATCTCTACTTTTAGGAGTATTTCAGCTAATAAAGGAAAAAGAGAAAATAACAATTCTGCAACACCTAACAATTAGTGGACATAGGCATTGCGCATTGATAGTTGCTAACATCACAAAGAGAGACAAAAAGACACTATGTACCTCTTAATGGAAGAACACTATGGAAGCCAGCCTCCAAGATGGTTCCCAATTAGCCTTACCTCCTGGCATGCATGTCCTTGTGAATCCCCTCCAACACCGAATAAGGCTGACTGTGTAACACAGTATTGTGCAGTGACAGTGTGTGTCTTCCATTTAGGTCATACAAGACAGTGTAGCTTCCATTTTGCTCTTTTGGATTACTTTCTCGGGGGGGGGGGAAGCAAGAAGCCCTAAAAAGAGATCTATGAAATAGTCTCATCCAAAATAATCAAACCTCACTGATGAAGCTTTAAGATCTACCTATCGATTTATAGGAAATACAAAAGACAGAGAAACATGTTAAGCCCTAACCCGAAGATGTTATCAGAAAATCTAGACCATGAGAAGATCTAAAGTATAAAAAACTCAGTTCTTCAACAGATAATATGCAAGAAAAAAAAAAAAAAAGGAATGAAAGAAATGAAGAGTCCCACAGAAGACTCTTAAAAGATATTTCAACAATTAGTATGAATAAGTTGCAAACCTTACTTGGATCTTAATCCAAACAAAATGTGGGGAAAAAAATTATGAAACAATTGGAAATTTAAACAAACTGAATATTTGATAACATTAGGTTTTGTTTTTGTTTTGCAGGTATGATAGTTATTATGGTTATATTTTTGAAGAATTCCTTATCTTGTAGAGTTACAAAATTAAATATTTAAGAAAAAAATATTATGACTGGGATTTACTTCCAAAAAAGGTAGAGAGCAGGTGGTTAGGATCTAAATGAAACAATATCAACTACAAATTGCTGATTGTTGAATCTGGATGATAGAGCCATGCAGGTGCATTGTAGTCTTTTTTTTTTTTTAAAGAAAATGCAATTTTATTAACATTTTTACATTCTAGGATGTTGTTGCAGAGCACTTGGGAGGGTGAGGGAGAGGGGAAAGGGGAAGGAAATGGGATGGAGGGAGGGAGGAGGGGTGGTATTGAAGCCTGTGGCACCCCCATCATTCCCACAGGGGAGGCCAAGGGGCCTTCCAGCAGTGGCTTGGTCGTTGCCAGGCTAGGTGCGGATGTCAGGGGTTGTGGCAAAAGCCCTTGCCCCCCACCATCCCGGCTCGGGAACCCAGGGCCCTTCTTGTTAGCTCAGTGGTCACTGCTGGGCTGGCTGTGGGTGTCGGGGGGGCGTGGCCGAGGCCTGAGGCCTCCCACTGTCCCAGGTTGGGGGAGCCCAGGGCACTTCCTGCAAGGGCTCAGTGGTCACCGCTGGGCTTACTCTTCTTTTGGGGGGGCAGCTGGCCAGTACCAGGAACCAAACACTTGACCTTGGTTGTTACAAGTCTTTTTATCTAATTTTGTATGTTTGAAATTCTCAATAAAGAATAAAAGAACGGGCCAGCCCGGTGGCGCACTGCTACAGTGCGCCGCTTGGGAGCGCGGTGGCGCTCCCGCCGAGGGTTCGGATCCCACATACAGACCGGTTCCCGCTCACTGGCTGAGCGAGGTGTGGGAGCAACACCGAGGGTTGCGATCCCATTGCCGGTCCCGGTCCGGTACGGGCGCGACACTGAGGGTTGCGATCTGTTGTCGGACACGAAAAAAGACAAAAAGGAAAAAAAAAAAAGAATAAAAGAACAATAACAACAAAGTATAGGTGTTCTGAAAGAATCAGAATACAATTTTAACAAATATGTTCAAGCTAAGGTTGTTGTTCACACCTAATGGCCATTTTGCTGCTTTTGCTTCCAGAAGTTGAGGCCTTTCAGTACAGTGAAATCTACATTAGGGAAAAGGACTGCAATGATACATTTTATAGGTGCGGGTTTACTATCCGCTGTAACCCAGATGTCAGCTGAGATCACCTTGTCTTTTGAGATTCAAGTAAAACTGATTCACCGCCCCTTCTCCAAGACAGTGGGAGACTCATTACTGCCCCAGTCTTTCTGAGATTACTCTGCCTGAGGTGGAGTTAAGTGGCATGAGGGAAGTGTATTATTTCTCCTTACCTCAGCCTGAGTTGTTTCTGCTGGCTTATTTCGAAGATGAACCATCATGTTATCCTATGCATGCTGACCTTTCCTATGTCCTGGTCTCACTCCAGACTATGCCCTTGAGAAGTCACCTTTCCCACTTAAACTTTTTTTCCCCTAAATAAACAAAGTTGTCTCCTGAAGGATTATTCTGAAACAACTAATAAGTTTTTCACTCCATTACACAGAGAACAAACTGATCACATAGACAGAGGACATATATCCTACATCACATGGATATAGGACTAAAAGGAGATATGTTGTACTCAAATTATGAAGAAAGAAGATCTTGGAAGAAAACTTCAAGATGTTAACAATGCTGCTTTTTCTAGCTGGAACTAGGAATGATTCTTTTCTTGCTTCTACTTTTTTTTTTTTTTTTTTTTTTTAAAAAGTTGCCGGGTGGGGCGGGCCCAGTGGCGCACTGCTACAGTGCGCCGCTTGGGAGCGCGGCGGCGCTCCCGCCGAGGGTTCGGATCCCACATACAGACCAGTTCCCGCTCACTGGCTGAGCGAGGGGCGGGCGCAGCACGGAGGGTTGCAATCCCGTTGCCGGTCCCGGTCCGGTACGGGCGCGACACTGAGGGTTGCGGTCCGTTGCCGGACACGAAAAAAAAAAAAAAAATGACCGGTAAGGGGATCTTAACCCTTGACTTGGTGTTGTCAGCACCAGGCTCAGCCAGTGAGCTACCCAGCCATCCCTATATGGGATCCGAACCCGTGGCCTTGGTGTTATCAGCACCGCACTCTCCCGAGTGAGCCACGGGCCG